AATGCCCATCAGGTACACTTTGAGCTTTACTCAAATATCCCCCAAAACCAGGTCTTGGATGTAGTTAGCTGTAGGAGACTTCAAACCTCTTCCACTGATCTCATACAAGGGAACTGAAAAAAAATCAAGGTGGTTCTTGTGATCTGTTGCAACTCAGGCAGCTGATACTGTAAGAAATCTCATTATAGACCTACAGCTAGAATTGAACTGAAATAATGCATACACATAAGCTACCTTCTCGAAAAATGGAGAGCAATCAAACACTCAGCTAGCAGTAACACTTACCTGTACACCAGGGCCAGTGGCAGCTCCAAATGGTGGTCTCATCATAGGCTGCCCGTACATAACTGGCTGCTGGGGCATCATGGGTACGCCTGTGCCTGCTGGGGGCTGTAAATTAACGCAGTGTGAGTAGGGTTCTGGGTGAAGAAAGAAGAGCAGTGTAACGAAAGAGACTCACCATCCCAAAGGCTGCTCCCGGCTGTGGGACAGGTGGAGTACCTCCTGTGGCAGGCACAGCACTTGCTGGAGGCACAGCTCCTGTCTAAAAAATTGTTTTGAAAAATTAAAGAATTGCAAGAATCTCTGTAACAGCACTATCTGGAAACTACACAGAGTCTCCAGCATTCTCAAAGTTGTTCTGGAAAGTAGGACTTTATGTATAGCAGATAATACCTAACCTCAAAACCACGATGCTTCAAAGAATGAGAGAGCTGAATGAGTCCTTACACTGATGCTGAGCTTGCCTTTTCATAAGAAAGGTGACAGACTCCATTTGCTTCATGAATGGAGCCCATTTACTGAATACAATTCAAAATAGGCCCAAGAAAATATGTACTTTCCTCCTCCTACATAGTGTAAGAAAGCATCCCAATTTCAAAACTGACAGATAACACACTATAGCACTTGTAGCATTGTACTTTAGCAAAAGCTTAAGCAGATGGTAAAGCTAAGGGAAAGAACTGCTATAATTAGTTTCCAATTTTAAAAAAATAGTATTTTTATATAGTGAGATTCATCTACATTAAAGAGTAAGTTCACACTTAAGCCACAATCACAACCATTACATACTTTACTAAGAAGAGTTTAGCTTATCTTGTTATGCTTTTTGTTCATACACTTAACTTGTTATGATTTTCACTCAAATAACGCAAGAAAAAAAAAAAAAGGTGATATTTCACTAGGATTCAGGAAGAGAGAACTGTAAGTTTAGCAGGCTGACTGGATATACAGCACAACAGCACCTTTGAACAAGGCCACCCCACTTATCTAGCAGAACCTACACATCATCCCTCTTGGATCCCTTATCTGTAACCTCCCATGCACAGAGTCTCCTTATGGCCTTGAAATCATTCAAGTCTCTCCTCTTCACAGAATTATGAACAATTCAAATTATTAACAAAGCTAGAGAGAGACAGGAAACATTCGAGGAAGGGATTTAAAAATGGCAGTAGGATTTTTAGGAATCTCATTACTGCTATTGTATAGCCTAAGTATATTGGCACAACATTCTCAAGCTATTACAGAAGCTGTAGGGTCATGCCTGAGCCTCCACATCCTTACTGCCTACCTTGAATCTGTCCTATCCCCCCCCACACTTGGAGAGCAGCTAACACACTTGCAGTTCAAAGGACAGTGCGTCTCTGGAGATATGCCAGAATTACACACTACACAGTCCACTTCTGTGAATGCTGCACTCAGTGTCCTTGGTTGATCTTTGCTGCCAAGTTAAAACACACCAGTTTCTTAGGAAACTGGAGACAAGTCAAGCGAACCTGTTCCAGATTCCTTAATTGACAAACACCCTACGGTTTCTGGCTAATAATTATTAGTGTCTTTTCCCATCTGAAAGTTTTCTGGGGAGCATTTCAGTTAAAAGTTGTACAGCACTAGTAGCACAGCTGTCCCCAAACTAAAACCAACATCTGAACACTCAGGTATGGAAAGCAAGGAATAGAAAAACACAGATTAATTACATCAGATGCAGTGACCTGACTGCAGCCACAGGAACACACTGTAGCTCAAAATCCAGTTAGGCAGATGCCAAGTAAATGGCCACACAAATTAATCTGCTTTTGTCTCAAAGCATTAGGGTGACTCTAAGGAATGGGTTTTTATGAAATTCTGCCAATTTTAATCCAGAAGGTGAAAGGTCACAAGAACAGAAGAGACCAAAACGCAAGTGGTTCAACAGTGACATGAAGGAAAGCTTCATTTTGGTCTCACACTTATTTTTCCTGCAGATCCATTTTCCTTTTGTTTCAAAAAAACCCCTAAGTGTATGATTTTGACAGTATATATATATAGCACCCATGTTTCATGAAATGCTATCAAAACCACTCAGCTTTCCAGAAAGGCTAGCTATCAGATAGTAAAACCACTACAAGATCAGGATGATGCTAGAGAAGTTAGAAATTTCAGGCACTATAAGTCATCACATCTAAGTAAAGCAAAGACAGTTTGAAGCCATTATTTTCAAGCTTACAGCACAGAAATGGTTAATCACTACTACCATATTCAACACATTGTCTGAGAATCGTCTGCTGGAAAGATAGTCCAAGAAGAAACATGTTAGGCCACCTCTAGCTAGGTTTAAGCCAGCAGTAATAGCTGTAATGCAGGTCAGGTGCAGTTAGTATCTTTGTGTTTAGTAAGTAAAATAAGAGATGAAAAAAATCCACTTACACAGTACAGTACTGCCCAGCCTTTCTATTAAGAAAAAAGTTGACGTTACAACTAATAATACATTCAATGCAGTACCAAGTTCAGGGAATTCTTGTACCTTTCATAAGGTTAAGGAACAAGCTGGAACATGCTTCGAGTCACACTAACATCTGGCTGTGGCAGCAGGGAACCGAACTGGTCATGCTCCCCTTTGACAGTCCTTTCCTTCCCAACCCAACTTTTTTCAAATGGAGGCTGTTTTATGCCCTGAGCAACTTTGACGAGATATAACCTCTCTTCATATTACTCTTGTAGCTTACTCATGATCAAGTTGCTCTTGTACCAAATTTAGAATTTTAGCTCCATTTAACCCTCTTCTCTCAAAGTTATTGCCTTCTGATATGTTTTACAGAGCTATCTTAACATTTCCAAGACTGCTTTACTCTGTTAAACAAGCTACCAACTTCTAATCTAACATTAATCACCTGATCAGTATGAATACTGTGCAGTCTTTTGGTCTACTTAATTCATGAAAGCTTGAGAAAAAATATTTATTTTTCCTCCTTCCAGTATTTCAGCTTTGGATCAATACCATTGCCTTTGGGAACCAAATCGACCTGGGACTGGTGCTAGGAAGACTTATACAGCTAACCACACACTTGGAAATGTCCACAGGTATTAAGTGTACTTGTAGAGTCACATCTTGACACACGGGCTAGTGTATTTTCATTGACCTGAACTCAGTAATTTATTTATGCCAGCTGTAAATCTGGACTTAAAAATGTGACCTGAAACAACCTTATCATTTATACAGAAGCAAACTCTTTAGCTGAAGTAGGCAGGCACAGTGCCTACACATATGCTTGCATTGTCTCATAAAACACTGAGGTTCCAATACCAGTGGTATCGATGGATTAACCACCTACCAAGGGACCACTTGGGACACCACCAGCTGACCATGTTGCAGGTGCTACTTTTGGCTGCCAGTTGGCTCCTCCTGTTAACTTTTTCTCTCCAGCATTCCACTGAAGGTCTCCCCTAATAGAGAGGAAGAGAGACAGAGCTACTATTTACATACTCTCACAGTGAAAATTAAAACAAATAGCAGTATACATTAACATTAGACTTGCAGCTACATTAGTTTATGGTGTATGCAGTTTAAGTTATTAACAAAAAGATACACTTTTAGTGACACTCAGTAGTTAGCACTAGACACCAGTACACTCTGAACTGAAGTCAGTTACATGGTTATGGCCTTTGTGGTGAGAATTAAAGAGAAATTTTACTTAGTATTGACTGAAGGCAACATATTATTGCATATACCCTTGCAAAGTAGGAAGAGGAACTACTACTGCCTAGTCTACTAGGGCCAGGCAGTAGAGCTGCCTACTAGAAGTCTTTGAAAGGTCATTTCATTGCTGGAAATCTTGCTCAGGCAGCTGAAGGAGGAAAGCATTCAGTTCTGAAAAAAGTTGATAGATACAAGAGAAACAAAATCATTCATAGAATAAAAGGGCTGTTGTAAAACAAGGTTTTGTTAAAGGCCACTCTATCCAGAATAAGATATACCATTTGAATGAAGTAAATGGAAGGAAGCTAAGTTTTAGGGATAAACCTCATTATGTGTTTATAAATACCCCTGCTATCATCTCCACAGAGGCACAAAACATTTTGAAGTACACACATCATAAATTGGTCTTGCATACAGAGGAAGACTCAGCACAGAAGTAAGCTATCAGTTAGATTAAGGAGATACATTCAAAAATAAATGCAATGCTGTAAATATTTCTTCTTGCAAGAAGCAGTTTCTCACTGTATGGAATGAACTTCTTTTTTATTTTAAAAGTATTCCAGTGCCTACACGATAAGAACATCCAGCGTCTGTAAAAAGATAACAAAACTATTACATATTAGCCTAGATTACTGAGGGGAGTTATACATTTTATTGTCTGGACTAAGCTGATTTCCAAACAACTGAAAATGAACAATCCAATGTGAAGATAGTAATTTACAGAAAAAATATTTCTAAGACTCAGATTAAAGCCAGCAACTTTAAAAGCTAGGAACATTTAACCTTAATTATTCAATGAACCTGTATAGAATAGAATACTTTTCCCAGAATTTTTCTGAACTGATATTCTGGGAGGGAGAGGGCACATAACCAATTCATTGATTCTTAATAAACACTGAAACAGATTAAGACTATACAACAGTCTTTTTTTTTTTTTTTTAAGTTGAACTTACTTTTTTGAAGTGGTACCAGAAATTCCAAGATCTGAAAATTGTAAGAAAAAAGGAAAAAAAAAGGTCATGTTCAGTAAATTCAAACATGTCAAAGTAACAGCTCATGTTTCATTGCACATGGGCTTATACAGAGTAATAAAGTTTCGGCTATCTTCATTTAAACAGCATCAGAGGACTGGCCACATCTACCCCTTCTTCAGGACAAACTTTTGAGGAACCTTGGAACTGTCTTATATTTGAGGAGGCCATTTTTGTTCTATAAGCAAACCAAAGTAACAATATATTTAGGTCTACAAAATGCTAAGCTGTTTAAGAGCACCAAACTATTTACACTGAATAACAACACTTGTTTCTGTTCCTCATTACACATATAGAAATAAAAGCTATTTTTCACATACACATAAATCAGAATGTTACCTGGAAGTTTTGCATTGTTTTACCTGCTGTATCATACATGGGAACTTCAAGTAGTTTCCTTAATTACTCTTTGGAAGAAGTTTTAAGCTAAGTTTTAAAGAATACACATGACCAATACAGCTCCTGTGAGTCAAAATTGCCAAGTTTCATTTTCTCCCTTAAGCTTGGATATATCAAATGACTTGCAGAAGAGGTTTCAAGTGATTAAGAGTACTGCTGACTCTTAAGCATAGTAGTTTCCCCCCACACCTAACAGAAGAACATGCATCATAAGATCAGTTGTATCTTTGCTGTGGTGTGTTTACATGCACTAGCAGAGTATTCCATTTATATAATCCTCCGAAGGATAGCTTTGGTAGTATTATACCTTAGCCTAGGTGGGCCTCTGTTAGGTTTTGGGGGGGGGGCTGTGGCTACTGATCTCTATTTGTAAAGGCTCTAGCCCTTTTCCTACTACAGGAAAAAGAATATTTTTTTAGTTTAGTATTTCAAGAACATGTTTTGGAGAGTTCACTGTCTGAAAGAAGGTCTATTCTTGGCTGTTGTGCACTCCTCACCCCACTGCTACTTCTCCTCTCACTAAGGAAGGAGTCTTTTCTGCTTCAGTTCCACAGTGCTATCAGATGTATTGGACAATTTTCACCTTTCCATCTGTTATTAACAAGGGCACATCCATTAAGAGTCTGATATCTCCCTGAATGTACCTGGGACGTTCATACATTACATATCATACCTACCAAACAGGTCCCTTTATTTGACTCAGATCCTGGGCACAAAGTGGGACAAGTTATGGACTCAGACTATCAGCTCTCTAAATCAGGCCTTATTCCTGCCTATAGCTTCCCCAGTCTCCTCATGGAAACAGAAGGACATTGAAGCAAGCTAAAATAGACAGGCATTTGGTTCCATGGAAAAATAACACAGTTGTATGCCACACCTCTTAAAACCAAATTTTGTCACTTACTGCCTACTAAGTTTGCAAGAGATGAATCAAGATCGCTTCCAAGGCCTTTGCTTGCTGCTGAAGCAGTGACTGTTGCTGTGGCTGGAGGTGCTATAGACTGCCCAGAAGGAACCATAGTTGGCATAAGAAGATCACCTAAGCCATCAAACACTAGAAGGGAAACGAAAGTGGGTTGGAACATCAGCTGTGGTAAGAAAAACACTACCTGCCACTTTGCTGTTGCTTCAACAAATATAGCAGACAACCACATCACAAGTCCTACCAAAACACCATTTGACATGAAAAGTAATGCCAACAAGGGCATGCATGTCGCTTTACTAGACACCAAATGTACAGTAATCCTGAAAGAGCTGTACCAATGAGAACTAATATGACAGGACATGCCTAAAAGGAGTTTAATTGGAGAGCTGAGTCAACATAGATACAGCACCACTTCCACATGACACTTTCTTTTAACCATCCTCAAGAGAGATGTCAGATGCACACACATTTGTCAGGAGATATTCATTTAATGGTTTTTAAAATGAACATCTTGCAGCAAACACCAGTCAGAATCACTGTGGCAAAAGCAGTCTTATACCTTGACATCTTAAAGCAACAGGATTGAAAGTCTCAAGATGTTACTATTCACTTGCAAGCAGCACGGAATCAGGAAAACCTACTGACATCTTATGAGATCAGAAGGAACCAGAACCATCCACATTGACAGAGTTAGCCTCCTTAGTTCAGTTATCTAACTCAGAAGTTCATTTTTTGAAGTCAAACCACCTGGTACATCTCATGCCAGTGTTCCATCTTCTGATCTGTATTTGAGGTACATGCTAATGTTAAGTTAACAGGAAGGGGTAGCATGTGCACTGGCAAGCAACTAAATAACCAAGCAGCAGTACTACTTCAACCTCTTTTTCTTGTACAGTAGCAGAACTCACCAATTTTAAGTTTGTAGCAAGGACCCAGCATGGAAAATACAGAATGGAAGAGATACAAAAAAAATGATAGCAGCAATGGAAGTTTAAGCTTATAGTCAGGCAAAGAACACAACTTCAGTCTCTGTTTTGTGTACCTTCAGATGCCATGCAAGCTCAAGAACAGCTTCAGCAGCAGGATGACTTGCCTATATACTTGATTTACAGAACAGTGTTTTCCCTGCATAATTCCCGATTCATGCAACCAAGCACATGCAAGGATGATGTTCACACTAGTTTGTTTTTTACTGACATGGTAGAATAAAAAATGAGTACAGAGCACTCTTGGGCACACACCAGCCTAAACACCACCCTGAGTTCTTCCAGTAGAGAAGGAACAGGAAAATCACTGATATTGCCTGTAATCAGAGCCTAAATATGGTGTCATTAACTGATCTAACACATAAAACACATTAGAAAATTCACAGGAAGAAACTCTGTGGCTCACCTGATGCATCAAACGAACTGCCAGTCGTTGGAGCTGTTGTCCCAAAAGCTGCATCAAAGTTAGGCTGTAGTAAGGTGGTTTGAGCTGGAGTGACTGGGGATGGTGATGGAGAGGGAGAAATAAAAGAACCTCCAAAGCCTTGAAAAAGCCACATAAGAGAGGTGTGGGCATTAGAGTCAGTCTTTATGGGCTGTGTTTAAACAAAAGCTCAATCTATAGAAGGCAGAATGATAGAAACAATTCTTACTAGACCATTGTAAATAACTCTGAACTCACATACACAAGTATCCTTGGTATGCCAGGTATGATCCAGGGAATTCAAAATTTTGTGACAGTCATCAATAAAAACTGCTATGTTTGTTATTTAGATTTCTGCAGGGGTAGACCAGCAGAGAAGAGAACATAATTCTTCCAGTACTACACGCTATCATTCTGGGTAAGTAATCTCACAAGCAGAATGCAACAAACAAGAATTAGTTCAGAAAAAAAGAGAAACAGAGGACAAACTTGAAAGAAGCATGTGATCACCCATTAACTACTTTGGAATCTCAGTTTAGAAGGCAGTGTTTTACTGAGCTAGTTTAGCTTCTCTTACCATCTTAAAACACCCTGGTGTCCCTTGTCAGATTTCTTCAACCTGCTGTCACCCCCACTCTCATGACAAAGCAGGATCAACACCATCCACAGCTGATCTGCTTGTAGACTGGAGAACCTCTATGATTAAGGTTAATATACACACTATAAATCCTATATTTATATACTTGTGGAGATTCTCTAGCCTACGAGCAATGCACTCCCATGCTTGACAGTTCTTCAAATCCCTCCCTTGCCCTCTACATAATTTGATCTCCCTTGCAATTTAAGCTTATTTGTATTATCTACAGACTCTGGAAACTGATTAAATATGCAAAGACTCCATCAAAACAAGAGCAGACATATGACTCTTTCTCAATTCTCTTTAGTTTACAAGCCATTCCTCTTATTCAATCTCTTCTTGGCAATGATGTCAGAGACCTCTGTACTACAGCTTCAGTCTCTCAGCTTTGTTTTTCCCCAACAGCCCTTGCATAGAAAGAATCAGATCGGAGCTCAGTGTTCCAACTGTGACTACAGATACACAGCAGGAAAAGCACTCTGCACAACCTGCAGGCTCTACTTTTTTCCCCTATATCAGAGTAGGAAACATATTATTTAGCCACAGCTGAGCACAAGATAGTGACAAGTCAGCACTCTACCACTGCCTTTAGTTTCTTCTCAGCGAATGTCCTGCCCTACAGTCTACTGTCCTTACTTTCCAGCTAACTATTGCTGCCTATGGACAGAAGTTTGAACATTTATTCATATGAAACTTCTCCTTTAGATAATTTTCTCCAATTTATAGAGACCACTTTAAGTCATATTCTCATCCAAAGTAAATACAGATCTTTTCATGTGGACGAAATCTGAAAAATTAAGCATGCTACTCCAACAGTCACATGATTGAAATTAAGTAACTTAGATCATCTCTTCTAAATTGATATTTACATTAAAACCTTAGCAATACTTTTTGTCTTTTTGATAAGACAGTTTGTACCACTCTTGTTTAAGCAGTTAAGTAAATCCTTTCCTCTTCTTCTTCCTTCAGTTTTCTTTAGTTACCGGTACAGTGGAGAAGTCAGCTTTTGAAAAATGGGAAAATAAAATCCTGAAGATTTTCTAATCACTTTTTTATCCTAACTGCTTTCCACGGTTACAGGGTATATTGATTACAACATGTTATGTAGGCATCTTAAACGGTGACAACAGCACATTTCTCAGCTATGAAATCAACCATCTGCCAGACATTTAACGAGACAGGCTAATGCTCCACGGAAAGAACTTGTGCTCAAATTGTGAGCATCAATTATATCAAATGTTACTGTGAGAGCTCAGCAACTGTACCCTCCCTGAAAACTTTGTTTTCCCGGAGAATAAAGTAAGATGAAACACCAAACACTTAAATTTTGAAAGAATAATAAGAGAAATTTATACATACGCACTTGATGCAAGCATCAGACTTATTTATACATCAGATGCATATTTCAGAAGAGAAGTGAGTTAGCAGTAGATAGTTATATTCAAAACAAAACCCTCAGTAAGGAAATGACAGTAGTGTGCTATCACCAGGTCCTGGGCACCAGGCCAGCAGTTTGCTGTCCCACCAGCAGACAGGCTTTAGTTGTGGAACATCTGACCTATATGAAAAAATACATTGGCCCCGGACACAGGTGGGAGAGGACAGCAAACCTGACTATGCACTACAGGTCCAAGAGAACACAACCTGATTAGAAACACGTCATAAATTACATCCTTCAGCTGAAGCTTGCCAGATGGCAGGCAATGACCAAAACCACTCAGATCATAACTTAAACTGGTCCCTTCAGATGCTACTGACCAAGGGCACTGGCTGGAGATAGGGAAGCAGAAGCAGGAAGCAGAGCAACTTGTATTCCACAGCCTGAAGTAAAGAGCATTTCAAAAGCCTATGTGAGCTTCCTTGTGTTTATTAGGCCTACTTCATGGTTCTGGCACCAAGAAGCCCTTATCATCCAAATCCTACTCCACAGGAAGTCACATGCTTACAGATGCTAACTCTGAACCTGGACAAGCACACTGGGACCAGAGATCTGCCCCTAGCTCTCCAAGGTCTATTCTTGAAGTGGGTTGTCACAGGTAATTTAGGATGGAAGTGACCTCTGGAGGTCAGCCATCCCAACACCCTGCTCAAAGCCATTCTAACCAAATCAAGTTGCCCTGAGATTTGCCTTGACACCTCCGAGAGATTTCAGCACCTCTCTCAGCAGCCTGCTACCATATCTGAACATTCCCATGGTAAAAATAAAAATTAAAAAATTCCAGTATTTAACTGAAATTTCCCACCCACATTGCCTTTTTTCCTGTCATTGGGCCTCTCCAAGAATAACTGTCTAGTCTTCTCTGTAAGCTCTAGTGAGGTAGCTTAGATACCTATAAGGTCTCCCTTTTGCCTTCTCTTCTTAAGGCTGTACAGACCCAGTTCTCATCCTCTCCTCATGTCACAGGCACCAGTCACCAACTCAGTGGCCCTCCACTGAACTCACTCTGGTACACCCTGATCACCTGCATCAAATGATTCCCTAATACACTGCAGAAATCCCCTGGATTACCTGCACCCAGCCCTATTGCTCTTCCAGCACATATTGTGGTGGCTGAAGTTGCCTATGAGTGCCAAAGCCTGTCCAGCTGCCTAAAAAAGGCTTCCTCTACTGCCTCTTCTTGATCAGGTGGGCTGTAGTAGACACCTACCATAACTTCACCAGTGCTGGCCTGTCCTCTGATCCCTACCTACAAACTCTCTCCTGGTTCATCACCTATCCCAATGCAAAGCTCCATGCATTCAACTATCTGCAAGCAAGTACTAGTCTCCAAATAATCAGACCAGAAGCAGGTTGACAAGATGCAGGGATGACAAAGGCACCTGACTGCAGCAATTCCTAAAGCACTGGAGTCATTTGAAGACCCTGTGCTCAGAGCCTTTCCATTTCCTGAGTGAACAAGGAGCTTGGCACCTGGGCATGACACAATATCCATTTATAAGATTCTGTTTAGAAAGTTAGGTAAGTTTTTTGTAAAGCCTCACAAAGTGTCTGTTTCTCCAACTACAGAAGAGACCTCTCCCCAGTTTCAGGTGAAGTTTGCATGATGGTTGGTCTTAATTCCATAGCTTTTAGCATCTTGTACAATTTAACAACAACATCGGGCAAAGAAACCATAAAAATGCTTTAATAGATTAAGTCTCTAGTTGTCTACGGTTCGCATAAGACCCAGAGTGAGTCTGCAGAAACAGCAGCAACCAAGTTACTGGTATGTGTTGTCTGGACATCCCCAACTGCACGATATTGAGGCTGCTTTTACTTACACATTCAAGTAAGCTTTCTTATAATAACATGCTATTAAGAGCATGTAGTGGGATACACATGTGCATAGTTTAATTGGATAAAAGGATCTAGAAGAGAAAATGGCTAGACCATCATATTTATCAGCACAGTTCTAGTCATGTCTGCAGAGAACCTTAGAAGAGTATTTTAAAAATTCCATCATATTTCCTAAACGAGACAAGGAAAGATGACCAGCTTATCTGACAGCAGAACACTTAAGATAATGATGCATATTAAGTATGCTTGTAACATTATGCATATAAACACTTAGTACAAAACTTCAGCCTTCAGCCACCATTTGAAATCTCAACAATCTTGAATTTAAAACTGGATTACACTGCAGGCTACACATCTGCCATCCAGGGTGAACAAATGCTCAGCAATATGTTGTGATGTTTACAAACTCTCTATATCTGCCAAATAAAGGTTCAAATCTACTTGGAGCTCTTTTGAACATATATTTTAAAAATTAAAAATCACCTGTTCACCCCAACTGCTTCAGGTCTGCTTAAGTGCTTAGACTTATGACACCCCTTTTATAATTTAGGTTTTGAATGAATGTGATTCATCAGATTCAGAGAGCATACTGCTGAAGTTTAAGCCATCTGGAGCATAATTCCTACTGGAATTTAAGCTTAGTTACAGATAAGGACATAAAATATTCTGTACTGTAATGTTTGTATAAGCAGGATTAGCTTCTTACCAACAATATCTTTGCACTCAGTCTCCCAATAATGCACACAACCACAAACGACTGATGTGTTTCAGAATCTACTAGTTAAAGCCCAATCTCCAGTCTTAAGCTATCCATAGGCTAACTAATACAAAGACCTATTGAAACCATATTAACACAAAAGGTGGCCTCCTACCTTAAAATCCTGAAGCTGCCTGTCCTAAAGCTTTAGTATACCTTTATGCACTATGTCCCACTTCAAGTAGCTGGCTTGCCAGCACTGGAACTGATTGAGAATGGATATATATGTTATTATTCTCTGGACTACTTCTTCCTTCCTGCAGCACAACTAGGCAATGCCCACACTCATAGCAGGTACTAGCGAAAGTGTCCTCTTCTGAAGTGGCTTCAGCGTGTAAGCACCCACCTGTATCAGCTCACAGCACTTCGAGCAGATTACATACTGAGGCATCTCACATGTATTTCTCATACAATGGACAATCTCTCATGAGCATATAAAGGCAAAATATACACAGGGCTCGACTTCTGATATAGTGTAAGCTGGCATGAGAGGCCTGCAGACATACAGAGAGCAACTGATGTCAGGGCCCACCACACCTAGAGTGGTTAGCAGTTGCAGTAAAGAGCAGACTATCACTCCAGCTCAGAATTAAAGCCACAAAGGTACAACATGAAGCTAATGATCATCTTTGAAGTTCATGAAGGATAATCTAAATAACCAATCCTACTGACAAATTCACCCTTCAGAAACATGGGAGAAACTAAGCTAAGTCTTCCTCAAACCAAAAGTGCATGAGTTTCCTTCAAACCTGAGGAAGACATGCTGGAATCTTGTTCTCTACAAACTTCAAACTATGATGGAGAGGAGTCACAACTCACAATCACTATAACCACTAAAATATACAGTACAGCATGCATTTTGGAGAGTGGTACAAACACAATTCAGCTGAAGCTGCTTACCTGTAGGATGCAGACTACAACGATACACTTATTCAGTCTTTGAATTAGGTGACAGTGATGCCACATTCAGCACTAGCAGAAACCTCGTCTCACCCAGTATAAGCAGAGAGTCTCTAACACTTCTATGCTCTTGTGTTCAGGAAAGCTCTCTTGTCACCACACTCTCCTTGTCTAAATGCAAGACTGCTACCATGTCATTCACTCAAGCTCCTAATATTTAAGTGTGTAACCTGCCTCAATTAAATCAACCAAGAAACGTTGAATTAGCAGTAAGGAACAAGTAGCACAGTCTGCAATACTGCTAAGTACTGCTACAGTCAGCCAAATAAACTTTAGGTATACACTCAGATGCAGTGAACAGTACAGAAAAAGGCTTGTGTAGGAGGTACAAAAATGAAATGCATGAGAAGATAATCTGGGAAGTTAACTTGTATTTCAGTATAATGCCTCCATTATAAATCACTACAGTTTTAATTTAAGAAGTCTAAAGTACTAATAAATCTTGTGAAGAAGAATTTTATTCCACTGCAAAAGTCCCTTTACATCCAAGGAACATAAAAATATTTCAAAGATAATGTCTTAGTTTTGCCTTAAAACAACAAGTTTTTGGAAGTTCTTTATTACCAGCAAGTAGGTCTGCAGAAGCTGAAGAACTAGAAGCAGCCTGGGTTGTGGGCTGGGGTTCAGAAGCACTACTTCCAAAAGCATCTAAAGGGAATCCAGAAAGCATCAAGAAAAGGTAGAGTTCAACATTAAATGCATTAATTAATGACTTATCATAAACAAAAGACGACAAAAGGATAACCACTTCATTCATCAGAAGAAGAAAATGAAAGTGCTTGGCCATCTTTATTGCAGAGCAGTACCATGTATGCAAAAGCTCAGGTGGAAAAGAGGAGGTGCAACAAACCCAGCACTTGAAAGAAATCTCTTTTCTTTTAGTTGGGTCTCTTCTCAGAAAATGCAAACAAACCACAGTATTCTATGTGAGAGCATTAAGCCCTTTGCAGACTAATGCATTGGATGAGAGATTAAAGTAATTCTAGACAGAACCTACTGACTCACATTAAGTCTTTTTAAGGGATATTTCACTAATGTTCGAAAAGTCACTACTTCCGAGCCACATTCCTGGTCTGTAACACTCCTAGAGTTGGTTGTGCCCATCCTAATTTCCACCTTGTCAAATCCAACAAAGATCTTGTGATTCAGATACCCAGTTTGAGACAAGTCGCCCTCAAAACTTCAGCTGCTTTGAGAAATAGAACTGACAGAAAACAACACGACCACAGAGAGTTGCAAAGAAAAAAAGAACACAACAGACTTTCATTGGACCTCCGAGGAAGAGCCATACATGCACTGACTGAAGACAGAATGGCAAGCTCATGACAACAGAATGACCACACTGACAGCTTATTTGCAGTTCATTATTGTGCAATACAAAGAACTGGACATGCTACTCAGTCATAATGCTACACAGAAACACCGTGAGAAGGGGAAACCTACAGCTTTAGCAAAGTGCAAAGGTAATTGAAATGAAGTGATTCAACTCTGAAGTGGTGAGGAAAGAAAAATACCCACCACCAAATAGGTCAATCACACCTGAAGAATCCACCTTTGCTGGAGAGGCAGTGGGTAGAGGAGAAGGGGCTGCAAATGCATCCACTGCAGTAAGCATAGGATAAATAATATTTAGTATCAGCAAGGCAACAATGATAGCTAAATATTTCAAAGCCATATGGGCTTCACCAATAAGAGCCATAGGGTCAGTAAATTCAGGTAACAGTCTTCAGAACTGCAAACAGAAAGCGTTACATTTCTCACGCAGCAACTGAAAACCACAGTACTTTAAAGAAAGCATTGTTTATTAAGAATTTTCTTACACTTAAGAGGAGGTTTTACTCTCTCAACAACCACATTACTTGCTCAACTTCAGTGTCATCCACTTTACGGTTTGCATCTTCAGTAGCTGCTAATCTTGTGACCAAAGTGTTAAACCCACAATTTTGTATTTCAGCTTAAAGATGTAAATTGTCAGTAAGTTTTTTTGGGAGGTTTGTTTTTGTTTTTTTACTTTTGAGGAAAAAAAAAAAAAAAGTCTGTAGGATGGCATGCAAAGACAAGCACTCACCAGATAAGAGATCAGCAGTGAGAGAACTCTCAGGCACAGGAGAAGCTCCATGCGGTGGAGATGAAAAAGCATCTTCCAGAAATGAAAGAAAAACCAAGGAGAAGTAAGTATCATTCAAGTCAGTTTACACCATTTCACAGCATCAAAGCAGCAGAGTACTGGAAGAATTATCTTTTTACCTGTACCAAAGAGATCTATGCTAGGAGTAGCATCTGGTTTAGGTGCTGCAGGTACATCAGGAACAGACTCAAATAAATCTAAGGCCAAGAACATAACATATCTTTAATTTATTTTTTGAAAGGTCGGACTCAAAGCAGAACTTTCAAGTTTTACACATCGTATTTGGAGTTAACAGGCTCTCTGGTGTGAAAGCCTAGCACACAGTACACATGCAAGAATGATTTGTTTGTTCTGTATTCCTGATAGATCAATCCACAGAATCAAAGAGTTAAAAATAAAATTACCACCAAAGATATCTAGAGCAGGAGGAGCGGATGTGGTGGCGGTAGCAGAAGTGGTGGCAGTAGTGGTAGTGGCAGTAGCCGTAGTAGCAGTAGCAGCAACAGCAACAGCAGCAGCTGGAGAAGGAGTTGTTGCAGGAACTGGAGTGGCTGCACTAGTTGTAGGGGTAACTACAGGAACAGCAGTCTCTGTTGGCTTCATAGCAAAGAGGTCCAGCTCAGGAGCAGCCTCTGCACTACCTTCGGATGGGGCAAAGGGGTCTTGTAAAAAGGAGAGGGGAAATATATGTGTATGCATACTTAGGATCAGTGAGGGAGGAAGTCAAGAACAAAGCAACTACAGGCAATGCACATACTGCAAATACACGCACGCACACAGAGGAGGTCATTCCAACATTGAGCCTCCTTATCCAGACACGTCACTTATGTTTTTCCAAAATAAAGACCATCTGAAAGGCTGAGCAGTCTAGTTACTAAAGGGCAGAACTTTAAAAGGCTGTTTGACAAGGCAAAAAAAGCCAGGAAGAATATCCAGTTTAAGAGGTGACTGCTTACAAAACTCAGCATTGCCAGAATAATTTATTATCACTACTGAATAAGGATAAAGTTACTGGGATGCAGAAACAGGCAATTTTAAGCATGCTCTTCAGTCTAAGGTTTGTTTTGACCAATTGCAAACACTATGAAAATTTCAGAAAAAACACACTGCCATGTAGTTTAAATAATTAAAAACAAAACAAAACAATAAAAAAACCCCAAACCAACAGCAAAACAACAGACTATCTAATGACATAAAACCCACCATTTCCTGAACATGCATCAAGAGCTGCTGCTACAGGGGTTGGGGTTGCTGGTGCTGCTGCCCCTTCAGCTGCTGCAGGGGCTTCCCCAGGAGAAGCTGCAAAGGCATCTTGGGTGCAGTTCAAGAACAGAAATTAAAAGAAAAAAGGATAAAGAGAAGAAAAATACAGTAAAAGAACCAAGTTAAATTGCACAGGTAGATCCCCTTATACAATATGAATGTTCTTACTCTGACGGCAAGACAAGGCACGCAGCGCAAAATGCTTTGTCTCTCCCCCAACCCCACACAAGCAGGTTCTAGAGAGGGTTTGAAGATGGAGCTTCTTGTGTTGCCCACAGGAAGTACAGCGAGTGTAAAAAAAAAAAAAAAAAAAAGGCATTATTCTCATTGTATAAGGGTTCAGAGCAGCATGCTCATGTACTACCCAAAATTAACTAAAGAAGAAAGAGCAGAGATATGGCAGTAAGTTGGTGTTAATAAAGATATTAAAAATGTCCATGCTCAAAGCCCATACTACGTATGATTAATCTGCAACTGTGAATTTACTTGCATAGGGCTTTGCAAACTTAAGCACTGTTACGAATAACAATCCAGTTACATTGGCAGAGATCTGCATCTACCATTTCTAGCTTTTGAGCAAAGTTAGTCATGCAACATCTGAGAAACTGAACTTCCTTTTTTCTTAACAGTATTCCACTTGGACATTTCTGAAGCCATAACCTGATGCATAGGTTATATTTACTCTGCTTGCTCCTGACAGATCAAGAACGGTCACCTTAACTACTGGCCAGTCATAGTTTGTCACTCCTTGAGGATCACATCTAGGCCAGTTAGTCAAGTTAGGGAAAACAACTGGTTTGGTCTTTTGGAACTACTTGTTCAAGAGTTTTCTTTGACTTTTTTTTTTTTTTTTTTTTTCTTTTTGCCACTTGCTAAGTGGTACGTTTAAATTTCAAGCTCTGAACTTTTACAGCATTATTCCTAGGCTCAAACCACCATCTGTAGCTCTTAATTCCATGAAGCAGTCCTAATGGACCATGCCTTTTCGACTATCCTCGTAGGCAAGCATTTTCTTGACAAAAATACTGTGAAATTAAGTTTAAATACTTCAAAATGCTCATAAAGGCCATTTTTATACTGCTAAGGAGTTAACAAGTTAAAAAAAAAAAATCTATTGGGGAATACTGCAACTGCACTGTCAAACTAGTACAGGGAAAAGCTTAACATGCTTTAACTTGAGTGTCAATTTTAAAATGAATAAAACCATTTTAAAAACAAGTTTGTGCCAGTTATTCTAAAAAGCTCAAAAGAACATGCACTGAAACTTCAGCAGAAGAAATGAAAGCCAATTAGCCTTGTACAATAGAATTAAAATGAGTTAGTAGCAAAAAAAGGCCTGCTAATAAGCCATTTCAAAAATAATTCTATTTTTTCATATAACAGGGTTCAACCACAAAACTGGATGGCAGTTGTCCAAGTGAAAAAAGTCATAATCAGTCAACTGTCACAGTATTCTATGTATACCAGACACTGGGATACACCGCAGAGAAGACATTCAATACAGAACTGGACTGAAGAGTTTGGAATCGTACTACCGGAGAATACGCTGTGCATATGGTCACGTGTGTTTGGTTTTGCTCTACACAGCCAGCTTTCAGATGGAGCGTCATCCTGAGTTCTTTCAAAAGAACACATTTCTACCCACACAAGTTTGTAGGCCAACACCACAGAAGCTGGTCAACACTCCTCAGAATTATTTCCCAGCATGAAAGGATAGTCTACAGATTTTGTATAAAATGTGATTTCAGAACGCACAGTTAGTCACAAGTTCCATGTTGGGACTACTTCAGCCTCAGAGTAACACCTATTCCTGTCCAGACGTAGAGAATTGAAGTTCTACATGCAACAACCACAGAAATTCAGAGGGGCCCAAATTCCTTCCAGCCTGAAGATCAAAGGGAACAGCTAGCTTGGCACCAGTTTTATTATTTATTGCCACTTCTGAATAAGGTTGCTGCCAAGCATTACCATTTTCTTTAGCATCATACTTGGGTTAAATGGCAGGTGGGATAAACACCTAAGCTCATAGTGGAATGTAAAGGAAAAACATCATATTAAGAACTTTAAATATTACTTACTCTGAGAAGTTCCAGAAACCTGTATGAGTGCAGAGACAGACCAACCTGAACAGGTGATCCTACAACTCACAGTTCAAACCCAGGGTTGGGGTGGGGTTTATTTTGTTTGGGTTTTTTTGTTGCTGTTGTTAATGCTTATAAAGATTTTTGAAGCCTTTCAAAAGGCTCTGCTGCACTTGCACTCTGCTAAAATTTAGCATCACATGCAGAAATTGATACAATTAAGTACTGCATATTTTATTAGTAAAAAAAAATAAAAGTTGGACTGCTTATTTTATTTTTTCTTTCTCCATATTGGCATAGTAACCCTACATTCGCATATCCAGCACTAAGATCTTTTTCCTTTAAAGCAGTTACTATATTTACTCAGTTTAAGCCACTTCCTTATTATTTATGCATTTTCTGCTTCAAAAGTTAATCTAGCTTTTGACTTCTAGAACCAAGTAGCACATGATCCTCACTTGGGTTTATAGACAACCTGGAAACTTAGAGATGCTGCGGAAACCTTTGCACGTTCACACTGCTGGGAACACCTATTAGGAGTGATAGATATCTATTATGCACTGTGTAACACTTAAATCGTTAAATAAAAATAGTTCTTACTGAAATGACGTGCAAACAAGGGCATTTTTAAGTTCTGAAATACTGAAGTAGTGCTTCAATACCATCTTGTCTACAGCAAAATAAGTGTTCCTGAAGAGTAATCTGTTTAATTTCATAAATTCAGGCTTTATTTGATGCCATGGCATCAATACATGACAAGTTACTCACACATGATACAGCTGACTTATAATCATTTAATGTATTATGCAATATGCAAAACAATCCTTTGGAAAGTCACAAGTACAGGAAAGATCACAGAACTGAAGTGTACAAGAGAAAAGATTTTCCTCCTGTTTCCACAGTTTTTTCTTCTTCAGTCACTTTTTTTTTGCCGTGGAGAACCTGACCTGAGCTAACAAGAAATATTCCACTAGGCTCAGTGCTAGGAAAGAATCTTAAGAATTATGGGATTTTTGTTGTTGTATTTTTTTGTTTTAAAAAGCATTAGTTTGCTATACCAGCATGTTCCAGTGTAAGGGACATTCAGTAGCCCTCAAGTGCCAAAAATTCTTGATCACTTTGCCATTAAAAGGGAAACCATAGTTCTGCTCATCGTCTGAATGCCTAATGACTGACATTTGCACAGTGTCTGCCATGACTTGTTACTTGCATGAACACACAAGAGAATGTAACTCAAGAGCACATCATTAGCATCCAAAAATACTATGTCTAAGTTCTATTATTGAGATACATAGCATTTCAAGATATTTTGTCTTTCTTCTACCTTTATATTTCTACTTCTCAGGAATGACTCCAGCTGCACTTTGAACACATCCTCCTCTTGTTTCTCTTAGAAACAAGATAAAGAATTCTTCAAGTTGGCCCAGGTAACTGAAAGCTTGCCCATTAATCAGACTGAATTCTTCCAAAAAGCTATACTGGATCAATCCTGTATTTCTCATCTGCTTTCCAAGACCATACTAGAGATGAAGACATAATGCAGAGCTGCTTTTCCTCCTAAAGACAAAGCCCATTAACAGGCAGCATGCAGGCTCCTATCAGCTAAAGTATCAGCAACATAGTGCAAGAGAACAGTCAACAGTCATTCCTGCAGTCTCCTCTTCTGCTTCTTCCACTAACTTGGCTGCTTTTTTCCTGCAGCTTTCTTTTCCCTTCCCCCCCCCAGCCACTCCCTGCAGACTCTTTACATTCTTTCTCCCAAGATCACTGATCCTGTACCTTCCCCTACCACACCTCACCGTAAGGAACAGTGTCAAGCAACTAAGAAATGGCAAGCCGCAAAAAGTTAAGGTGACCCTGAAGACTATCTCTAGCAGACCTCAAAGGTCAAATGCCTATTTAAGATAGTTGGCATGCCTAGCACCATAAAAGCTAGAGAGCAACAGTGTCTGCCCAAAACCTACCATTATGTGTACTATACGTAATCTTAAAGTAACAAAGATTGTTAGTATGGGACATCACTTACAGCAGAGGGATCAGAAAACAACAACAAAAAAACCCCAAAACAAAAATACTCCCATGAGTAGAGAGATGGAAGTTCAGTACGGACTCCAGGATCTTAAAAGGGTTAGGCCTGTGGGTGCCATGAAGGCACTGCAAAAGTACCTTCACTGCTGGGTGTGTTTAGAGATTTTTCTTCTCGATAACTAGAGGTTTTCAAATCCAGAAACTTGATGCTATTGCAAATAATAAAGTCTTGCTTCTTCCTGAAGTGCTCCAGGAAAGACTCAGTATTCATCTAATATACCATCCACTGGAGATATATAGTATTTCAGCAACAAAATACACTCTCTTTAAAAGAAGAGATCAAGTCACAGAAGTCTGGATACTGCAAAAGTAAAATTCCTTCCACATTGGAGGATGAAGGCAACTCCACTTCTTATCATGTGCCACTAAATAATCTAATGATCAGCTAAATTTCTAGAAATCTAAAGCATCCAGCTCTTTGCCAATTTATAAACATGGAAGTGGACACATGATTTGGTAGCAGCCATTTTTCCAGGCACAGAATAGTGGAAAAGGTAGGAAAAAAGAAGGGTACCTCTTGCTGCTTGTAGTACTGGAAGTTGCAAGCTTACAGTAATTTCTAGCCATTTAACTATCATTTAATTTTTTTAAAACTCATCCACCTATGCTAAATTAATAATGCAATTTGAAAGTGCTGTATCCAAGACTGGCTCAACCCCAATATCTACACACCAAAAGTTTCACATGCTGTGCATCTGTCAGGGTGTTAATGAGCACAGGTCTCAGCTTCTGACAGCAACCAACATCAGACTCACTCTTGCTTCTACTGGTGTCCAGAACTGCTGCCCACGGTTATTTTAAACTTGCTTCTGAAATGCCTGATCCTGTGGCACTTGGACTATTATCCATGTTTGTAAAGGGAGGACTTAAGTAGCAGGTAGCAGTTGTACTCCTTTCTTACAGCTTCTCAGCTATTTTATTTGGGCTATCTTGGAGCTGTCTGTTGAAGTCAGCCCTAAAAAAACTTCTAACTGGGAACTTTCAGTCTTTAGGAAACACCTTTGTAGTTAAATTATTTATGTATGAAACCTCTCCAGCACTCCTGTCTCTAGAAGCGATAGATAAACATACTCCTACAGACAATATGCTGGAATTCAGCTTTGATAGCAAGTAAGTTATTACTAATTCCTGATATCAACTGTCATGCTGGACGTATGCATCACAGAAAGAGACAACTAGAAAAATACAGTGGTCAGGTGATTTCAAACATGTAAGTAGTTTCTAAATCAGAACATTTCTCCATTAATCTGGGCTGGTATAGTGTTGAAAAGACGCAATAACTTCTGATGTGCTGTTGAGAAGTCTGCTGCTCCATGAGAGTGACAAGAAATCTGACAACATATAGAGAGGACTTAATTCTTACTCAAGAGGTTAGCACCTAACATTAGAGACTGAAAGAGCATAACTAAGAATATGTTTCCTATATATGAGCTATAGAGTTGGCATTTAGTACAAGTTCATTGCCAGTTTAATTTACTGTTAATGCTATGTGAAATAAATCTCAGACTCAACACTGAAATATAGTGATTTCAGCTGTCTCAATACTGCATTTACAGGAAAGATCCAAAAGAAACAGAATGTCAATAATAACATGTAATGAAGTGGCAGGAAGCTACCATGTCCATCCTTTCCAGTGCAGTAACTAAGAAAGCACAACTGCTTTTCGCAGAAATTGTAGTACAGTGCATATTTATTGAATAATGTGCAAAGAATAACTGCTTACCTCAGTGTGGACCTGAAAACTAATGTTCTTAGCTGTTCAACAATAAAGTAACTCAGTCTTAAGTGTATACAGTTTTCCATTTCCATATATATATGCAGAGGAGTCTATTAGCTAAAAGCACAGCAAACAAAGAGGTAGTTGGACAGTTTACATTTCCTGTTCCATCTAGCATTCAACACACAGGCACTTCTAGTATAGTTAGTTAAATTAAAGGCCTTATTACAGCAGCTGAACTCAGTATTGCTTCATCTGCCTTACAAGCTGGCGCAGAGCACTAGAGCAACCAAACTAACCTCCAAAGAGATCCACTTCAGCAGTGGCAGCAGTAATAGTTGTAGTTGTAGCAGCAGCAGCTGAAGTAGTTGTAGTATCAGTAGTTGCAGCAGTAGTTGCACTAGGCTCTGGCGCAAATGGATCTGAAATCTGTGTCTCAGAGGTAACACCGGAAAGTGCAGCCAGATTATCTATATGCAATCATATAATGAAGATCAAACAGGAAAAGTAAGAGGAAGGAGAGAGATCACAATCACTCAACTCCAGAAAGTTAAAATAAGGAGTCTTAACATTCAAAAGTCTTAGAAATTAAAAATATTACTCACCCTCTCCCAAGAGGTCTAGTGATTGTCCATTAAAATGACAGCAGAATAAAGAAACACACCAATTAGTAGAACTGCCAGATTGAAGATGTTCATTAGCCATATGTTCATTCTCTAAGTTACATGTCTAGGTTAAACATAATCTCTGCACATTATTTTCCAACATTCAAGAAGTTATTGTTACATGACAAAGCTCATTCTGTTTAATAGCTCTGTTCAAATCAGAACCAGTACATAAATTTGTGTTATTTGGTAAGTTCCTTAATATCTAATCAGCAAGATGTTCAAACACTGGTAGCATTTATCACTTCTGTTCTATACAGCTGCTTTTCTTTTCTTAAAACTGCAATACAGAGAACCAAGTAGTGGCCTGTTGACAGGAAGGTCTCCCACATTTCACTACTCCAGGGTCAAGTTGAGAACCACTTCTTTAGAAGCTCAGTTCACCACCATTCTAGTTCTCTCTCACATTTGGCTTAGCTTATTTAAATCAGTGAGCTATCAGCAGAACATACTCAGACACCAAAGGGAATCTCAAGATAATTCTGCTTAGTTGCAAGTATTTTCTAGACCAAAGTAGTCAGAAAACAGTCAAAAATCATCATTAAAGTTAGTAGAGAGAATTCAACTTACTGTTCTGCCAAAATGAGCTGTTGTGATCCAGCCATCAGCCCTAGAACCCTTCAAAAAACTGACACTAAAGCCAGAGAGCAGCTTGCAAAGACAGTGTTAAACTACTTCAGGATAGAATTCATGGCATCCCTACTTCCCCAAGTATATTCTGAGAGGCAGACAAACTGTAACTCTTGTACTTGAGAGAACTGTTTAGTAATTAAAAATAAAATAAAATAAAATAAAATAAAAAAGGAGAGCAGCTCCTCTTTGAAAGTTTTTGCTGCATTTGTGATAGAGCAAGGATACTATGCAGAAACAACCACCTCTGTCACCACTTGCTATGAGGAGTATGAATGATTGAGAGCATAAGCAGGTTAGCTCTGTTCCAACTTTGGTTCCTTAATCAACTGTTTCCAGAGGCCAATGAAGCATATTTAATGACAGACTTTCCTACATTTTTATGTTCTCTGAAACCAGTCAGACTGAGTCCAAAGACAGAGGAGCCTTTGCCTATATAAAAAAAAAAACCCAACTATAAGCTATAAAAACCTGTGAAAACTAGCCAGTTTGGCCTATTATATTTTTATACTGCAATTAGAATATTCTGAGCTCAACTACCTATTTACTAACCAGTAGCTCAGTGTTGCTCCTAGATTCACTGTACACCTAACAGCGTCATGGGTTCATCTGATCCACACTGAACAGCAAGCACAGAGTCCAGACGCTTCACTATGGGTCAGTATGTAGGAAGCAAAATGCTTTGAGCAAGCACAGCTCAATTGTCACAAGTTTGTCTTTATTTTACAACACTCATTGAAATAGCACCAAGAAACCACATGTAGGTAATTTTGTAATTGGTTCCTTGGGAGAGCTCTATTTGAGACTGACTGCACAAGCTGAGGTAAGTCAAAATACCATTCTGAAAAAACGTAACAGTATATTAAAAATGCAGCACTGGTATCTCATTACTGCACTCCAGGTGGATGTCTCACAGCTAGACTTGAAATCAACAACTGTTGTCAAACTTCTACCTTCTATTAGCTTATTCTTCAATGCATTTTTGTTATCCAGTTATGTTACAGATCACAATACAGTGAAATTACAGTTATCCAGCATGGCAATCTACACTTCCTCTTAATATAGGAAGGATTAAAACAAATGCTTTATTGTATACTAATATTAAAGTAACAATACTAATATCAAATCTAAGGCACATTGCAAGGTAGTTCAGAGCAGAAATTCAAGTCAATTTGCTTTTATATCCAAGCGTAAGATCTTGTCAGGATGCTGAATTTGACCTACTGTATTTTTTGTAATACTACAGTCTACTTTGCCTGCCAAGTGCCTATCTATTCACCTTGCAGTATGCTGCAGGCAACTTATTATCCTACCCTGATCATCACATGGTAGCACAGAAGTGTAGATTTTCACGGGTTATAGTTCATTTGCTAGATAACGTACGTTGTATTCAGAAATACATTAGACATACAACAAAATATACATTGTACTGTATATACCACTAAATATACAGTGTACTATATTGAATATACAGTATATGCCAGAATACACAGAATCTACACTGCCAATGAGACTGAAAAGCAGGATAGTTTGTTGGTGATGGTGACATGTATTCCCGATATTTATGTGATATTTAAAGTGCCAGTTTGATGCTACATCTTGAAGTATTTGAAATTCACACTTTCCTAGCTATTCTGAACTCCAGCAATCCTTCCAGCTTCCTCTCTCTACTACATCTTTCTCATAAGATCCCACATTAACTTGCTGTGGGCCAGAAGAGTTTTGCAGATGAGGAGGAAGCTCAAATAGCAGAGAAGCACTGTTACACATCCTCCCAGGAGTCCTGTGTGGAAGGCAGGTCATCTTGTCCAGCCTCCTGCTTAGAACAACATTACGGCCAACACCAGATCAAGGCAGTCACGGCTTTGTCTAGTCAGGTCTTGAAAAATCTCCAGGAATGAAGAGTCCACTAGCTCGCATCAGGAATCTGCTCCAGTACTGCCCTACTCTCCAAGTGAAATAATTTTTTCCTCATGTCCAATCAACCTCTGAAGCTGTAACCTACTGTTATTACCCTTCACTATAATCAACTCTCATTTCCAATACAATTTTGGCTCTGCACTATAACTCCCCTTCAAGTAGCTGTAGGCCACTATTAAGAGTCCCCTTTAGCCTCCTCTCTGCCAGATGACAGAGGCCCAGCTTCCTCAACCTCTCTCCACAGAGCGGTGCTCTAGATCCCTGGAGTCCTGGTAGCTCTCTGCCAAGCCCCTGTCCCTCAACCAGGACAGCCCAGAACTGGATGCAGTATTCCTGATGTGGGTGGCCTCACCTGCACTAATTAGAAGGCTCTGTAATACCTATGAGACTGTACAATTCATAATGACTACCAGCTTCATCCTGCAGATTTAATTTAAAGAAGTAAATAAAAAAAAACCCTTAACACGGTCTCAAAGGTTTTCTCATTTCCAGATGAAACATTAATGGAAATTTCAGTATTTTCACAACAAAGCCATTCTAGTTCTCAATTCAGACATGGTGTTTGGCAATTATTTAAAAGGGGGAGAGAGAGGGGGAGAGAAAGAGAGAGGGGGAGAGAAAGAGAG